CTAGTACGAGCTGATGGTGGAAGTGGTACGAGTCCGATCCCTTCTTCCTTTGACGGTGCAGCGGCAATGAGCCAACCGACAGCGGTGGCAGCGGGGGCAGCAGCAGCAGCGGCGGCGGCTGCAAGGGACAGCGATAGTAATGGCCTTGGCAATGCAAGCACAATGAAATCACGGGTGGGACATTCTATGCTATTGGATCCAGAAACACGACGTCTATATATTTTTGCTGGCCAACGTGTCAAGGATTATATGTCTGACTTGTTTACCTATGCTATTGACGACAACAAAGTGGCAGAAATATCCCAAGACTACTCCAAGGAAGCTGGACCTGATGCTGGATATACACAACGGGCTACTATCGATGTCACTCGAAAGGAAATATACGTCTTATCAGGTTATCTGCGCAATCAAGGCTGCGATGTTGTCAAAAGTGGCTTATGGGTGTATGAAATCGAACAAAATGCTTGGACCAAGGTATATCAGAACGAAAATAGGGATCCAGATTATTGGCAAAAGATGAAACACGTGGAGCCCTGTCCTCGATTCGCTCACCAAATGGTTTATGATCCAACAACAAAGTCTCAATATATCTTCGGTGGCAATCCCGGTGATCGTGAATGTACAAGCAAACGATTAGATGATTTTTGGCAGCTCAAATTGACGAGGTAAAAGAAAAGGAAAGAATATGATGCGAACTGAATATTTATGGTCCCTCTTTTTTTTTTTTTTTTTTTTTAGGCCAGATCCTGGTGATATTCTACGACGCTCTATTTATTTAATACGAATGCAACAACTCAAGGAAATGTGTATGAACGAATCGAAATCGACTGCATTGGAAACGAGTGCCGCTACTAGTGATCATACCGTGGATGCTTTGGATTATCTGCAAACAAAACTGACGCCTTTAGTAAATCATGAAATCCAAGAGGAAGTCAATGAATTCCGCCAACTGTGTACCCGACTTTGCCTATCATCCAAAAATAGCTTCTTTCCAGTATCGGACGAAAATGGCATTCATGACCGAGGTAAGAATCTGAAGTTGGCCGATAGCTTTTTTTTTTTTTTTTTAAAGAATAAATGGAAGGCGGGAAGAAAAAAAAAAAGAGCTCATTGTATTTTTATTTTTGTATTTCAAATCTAGATCTTTTTGCACAAAGAAATCAAGTCTTTGATAGTTTACTGGAATACATACCCGACGAAATGAAAGAGCCGGCGGAACAATTGCTCGACTCTGTGAAGTTAGTTTAGATTTGATTAGTTCAGTCATTTTTTATTCTTATTATCCATTTTGCATAGCTAGTATCTCAATAAAGACGATTATGGCATTTGATGATCATCACGGACGTAGGGGCTTTTTATTCTTATTATTATGCTATTATTATTTTTAGAGCAATACGGGAATGATTGGATACAATCGGGGGATTTTTCTGGTATGGGTCGATCTACACAAATAAAAAAAAGGAATAGATGAAGATTATGAGAAATACGTTTTTTTCGTTATTTTGATAAAAAAAATAACTGACGATTGATGGAAAGCAACTTGATGAATACAAAGTGGCTGTTGTGATGGTATCAACAATGGTCATTTATTCTTTTATTCTTCAACAGGATATTGAAGCTTGAGTAGTTTAAAATGTATCCGACTCTTTTTTTTTTTTTTTGCCTCCCTCTCAACATTTTGAACAGCTAAAAGGATTGAAGGCCGAAACAGAAAAAAAAAAGGGAACTCGCGAGTCCCTCTTTTTTTCCTATTTTTCTATTGCAAAAACCTTGACACGATGGTTGAAAGAGCAACAAGAAATGAATTACTTTTGATTCATGGGATATTGATGGCCTATGTATGGCTATTTGCGGTTCCAATGGCCATAGGAATTGCTGTTTATGGGAAAATATTCAACAAGAATTGGTGGGGTAAACTACATATGTGGATCATGTCAGTTGGGGTTATTTTGCCGTTAACTGTAGCTGCTACATTGGGCTTTGTTGCTTCCGAAACAATAAAATTGCGAACCCACACGGTAAGTGAAAATAAACATCCCAGAAGCCATTCAATTTATGTATTTGTTTTTTTTCTAAAAAAAAAAAAAAGGTACTTGGCACAATAGTTGTCTTGCTGGCATGGCTACAAATTATACTTGGTATTACCAATCATTATATTTTCAAAAAAAGAGCAAGAGAAAACAGATTGCCTTCCAAAAAGCCTTGGCACAATCTATTGCATATTTGGGGTGGGCGTTTTATTTTTATTCTCGCTGTGATTACTGTTCCTTTTGGCATGAAGCTTCGCCATACACCTTCGGGGTTATACACCGCATATGCTGTCTGGGTATCATTGATGATGGCATCTTTCATAGGATTAATACTGTATGGTCTCCTTAATTCTAGTCGTATTCGGCTTCGACAGCAGCAGCAGCAGCAACAACAACAAGAGCAACAGCAACAGCAACAACATGACGATAAAGATAATGTAGTGGATGAATCAAGACTCCCTGCGGAATTTGAAAACAAAAAATTCGATGGTCGGCGTTAAACTCTGTCGTTTTCAATCCACATAAACTATTTCTTTTCATTTTTTTTTTTTTTTGGCTTTTTTAATAAATAAATAACCACCCTCTCATTGATGTTTTTTATTTTGTTCTTGTTTTGAATATTACCAGCACAACACAATCAACAGCTGGATGATCGCTGTTGACAATTATCCCAACAGATCGCGACAATCTTGATTTCAAATGTCAAAGGCAACTCTTGTGGTGGCATCAGCAGGAACATCATAGAATTTATATCTACTACCTCTTGAACATTCTTGTCATTCTTCCAACTGACTACGTTGAAAAGGTCGATAGTGGATACTTGTTATGTGTATGCCCTGGATGCGAATCATTTTATGCATGGCGCCTATATCGCCTAACGAATAGCACGAACCCAGTTCAAATGTAAGTGGAAAATTCAAGATCGAGCGAGCGTTTGAAATACGGTGATTTTTGATTCGTTTCTAGTCTTGTGTTAGATCTGATGAATAGATGATCACGGATTTATCTGGGGGTTGATGCTTCTAATGTGCCCAAAAGTATTGCTGTCTATATCTACTTAGCTACCTCTCCAATCGCATATGACATTGATAATAATGTCCTTTTACTCATGTGGTATTAGTTATAGCATCTTTTCATGCGGAATGTATCATTATTCCCTTCAAAAGTATTTTGATCAATAAATAAAGCAATATTGTGTTTATTATTCAAAAGGAAGGATGTTGGTTTTTAAATTTGGGTTTTGATGAGAAGGGATTAAGTGACTGTGACGTTTCGCGCTTTCGTGGGCATCTGTGTCGGTTGGGCATTATTAATTGTGTGTGTGTTGAAAAATAATAAAGTGCGGAATATGCAGTAAGGTATGTCATGTCTAGTGAATAATATATAATAGGGACGGACACGCAGGTAATATCTTCCAGGTTGATCCATGTGAGAGAGGAACGGAACTACGTTTTATATCAAGTGACCTTGATCTACATATATAAGTGCATGACGCTCTAGGATAAAGAGTAGTCATACTGAGTGAGCTAGAATGCAGCTGTTTGATAAATCACTCACAATACAGCTACAATAATGGTTTTGCTCACTATATTTTGTGCCATGGAATTTATAATAATAATTTATATTTTATTTGAAGGAAGATGACATGTACTATGCTAAGAGCATAGGTTTTATTACAACAGGACGTCTAATGATGGTAGCTTGGGGGAGACTAAATGGTATTTGAAGAATGACCAACACTAATCTAAAGGGACAATTGTAAAATGGGAGCTAATATATTGCACACGGCTTGAAATGGTAGTAAAAAAGAGATCTATTGCACAAGACATTAAAAAAAAAAAAAACTAATGGGATATTTTCCATTGAAACAAGTTAAAAGAGACATATTTTATTCAGATATACATTCAAACTATGGACAAACTAATACTAAACTAAGGTAATGAAGGCTTTACAAAGTCATCTAATTGTGGCTCAAAATCCTGAATCCAAAACGAAAAGGTTCCCCCATGCATGTTGTAATCCCTGTTCTGAAACCCCTTCTAAACTAGTCCTGGCTCTAATCTAAGTCACCCGAAACCCCAAAATAAGCTGTGAATGGTGAAGAAAAAAAAAAGAAAAAAAAAACTTGAAAAATGAAAATGAAAAGAAAGAATGGAGCGAAAAAAAAAAAAAAAAAAAAAATTGGGAAATAAAAATCCACGTGTGCGGGATTTAAAATGTTTTTTTTTATTTGGCTCTCTTGCGATTAAAATTTTTTCGCCTCTCTCGCTTTTACAACATCATAGATAATGTAGCCGAAGGGTTTGAATGCAACTATCACCTTTCAACATTGGCGACCTGACGACCCCTTCTTTATACTATAACGAACATCAATATCGTCATTCTGTCTTTATTGGTTTTTTTTTTTCAAAACGTAGTCTTCATTGAAGTCTCAAAAGGCGGTGGGTGACGGTGCTCTTGACTTAGTGGTTAGAAAGTGAATCAGGGGCATTTTGAAAAGTGCAATGCAAACAACATGGGGGAACCTCTTTCATTTTGGATTGGTGATTTGCGATCGTCATTTGATTAGTCTTCATCTTATGAATAGTGCTATTTGTTTATATTAGCATTAGCTGTCATAGTTAATGTCTACATCTGAATAAAATTATCTTATCTTCATACCATTAATCTGACTTGTATTTTTGAATTGTCTTATATTGAAGGGATATACTGTACGTACAGTACAGCACAGTACAGTGCATGCGCATAAAAAAAAAAAAAAAAAAAAAAAAAAAAAAAAAAAAAAACGATGAATATTTGGCGATTTTTGTCAGGCGATCAAGTCAGCGCAATTCCTAATAAACATAATTGTTTGGTGGCTATATTTATTACCTAGAATTTATTTGTGTGAGATGAATCGATTCAAAGCTCTGTTGATTTTCATTTTGCGTATTGCAAATAATGTACAGGGCTTTCAGAAAAAAAATATAGGTCTTCGTGGTGTAGTTGGTTATCACGTCTGTCTAACACACAGACGGTCTGCAGTTCAAATCTGCACGAAGACATCTTTTTTTGCTTCATTTTATGTTTATATTTTGTTATTTTTCAACTTTAAACCCAAAGGTTGATGGTGTTATAGCGAAACTTTGATATTTGATAGTAACGAGGTTGTGTTTTTGTAATTTTTGTTTGAGGTAGCAACAAAAAAAAAAAAAAATCAAACTCAACCTCAACCATTAATAGTTGTATTGAGAAAAAAAAACATTTCCGATAATAAAATAGGAATTAAATGATCGAAAATTCTTTCCATGCTATTCTGATCTGACTCGACAAGGATGTTGGTGCAATCAAAAGTTAGTCATTGACTTTTATTAAATTATATATGTGTTAAAAAGCTGGTTTTACCTTTCTGTCAAATGAAGGAAAAAAAAAAAAAAGTTCCTCATCAATAAAAAGTGTTTGCTGCCAATTTACAATTGTTGATAAAGAGATATGTATTGTCAGTTAAAAGTATATTGTCTTTATTTTTCACCTGAATGGAAAAAAATAGAACAGCTGTCTATATATTTTGTTACGCCCAATTCGTTTGAAGTCTGTTCAATGAAACCCAATGAGATTTCCAAATTAGGAATTTTTATCCGTAGGTTATGAGTGTATGATATTGATATTATAAGATCAGTACGCTATCCTAAGAAAACTGTATGATCGTCATGACTATTGTAATCTTATTATATTTTAGAAACATGTATCAAGGGATCGTTTTTTTATGTAATTTTCCCAATTCAGATCATCCGGAATTCATTGCGTTGGCCTATTTCGCATAATATCACAAAAAAAAAAAAAAAAAAACTTCTGCCTATATCACATTGTTTGGAAAATATGACCACTCAATCAATATTAATTTCGAAAGACCCCGAATGAGTCCAAAATTTGAGCGACATTCAAGTACACAATGCCACTAGTTACAGTACTAGGTACCGCAAGAAGACAATATAGATAATACTACAAAATGATTGATTTTATTTCTGTTTCAAATATACACACATTCAATAGTCATCGACAATAATGATAATAGTAGTAAAATAAAATATATACAGAAGAATAAGATAATAAATCGTAATGTGAAGGAACAAATAATAGTAATAATAATAGTGTGTATCTGTGTAGGTGGTGATAAAGAGGAAGAGAGAGGGTATGGCATGAATCCAATAAATAAAATACAAAGAATGAGCTAAAAAAAAAAAAAAAAGAAAAGAAAAGAAAAGAAAGGAAAGTATAAAATTCTAAATATGTGAAGTGATCATCAGTCGTCACCATCATCGCCATCAAGAGTCATTTGGTTGATAGAGTTGAAAGGATCAAAGTCCATGCTTCTAAAGTCCACTTCACGCTTGACCAATTCAAACACCAAAAAGCCAACACTTGTCGCCGGCACAACCTTCATGACGGTACTACCAAATTCCTGATACAAAAATTTCATCCAACTACCACCATTGGATCGCACATTGCGTTTGCATTGTTCCCATGTTCGACGGTAGAGTTCGTTGACTGGTTCCCTTTTCGACTTGTTGGAGAATTCGGATTGTTCTTCTTCAATATAGAAAATACTTTGTATTTTGGAGAAAGGATGATCGATCAACTGGTATGCCTAGTAACATTTAGTAAAAATAAGAATAAGAATCGCCCAAGTTATACCCTTATACATCACATTTTCACATTGTGTTCTTAAAGAGGTCTTACCACTGCCGCTGCTGCACCAGCCAATATAACAAACATAGGTTCCAGCATCAATGGAGGTCGTTCCTTTTTCAGAGTTTGCGTAGGTGAGGAAGCCACTGAGGAGTCACTTGTTGTATTCTGTCCTTCGAGATGAGTATGATGTATGATGTCGCTGATATCCTTTTTCCATGATGATTCTAAGTCTTGGAGAGTTTTCGATGATACCACATGTAGACCGTACATTTCATCCAGATAATAGTAATAGCCTTGTTGCTTCACCCATTCGAATGTTGCGAAAAACAAACCACAAGCGAGTGAATCCTATAAAAATAAAGACACATGCGTTAAAAAGTCAGCCTCTTCCCCCTATTGTATTCGTTTTGATTTTTGTTACCCGCATCAAAGTCAATGTGAATCCTCTATAGGCACTAGCCATGCCTAATTCCTTGAATGTTGTTTTGGCAAATTGATAAAGCGATCGGTGTTTTCCTTCTAGGAGATCGTTGACTTCAAATCGTACCTTGAGAGAGTCTAAGGGAGTTGCCACAATCGACTGTGCGGCACCAGCCAGACATCCTGCCAAAAATACCGAGCTGTAAGGCGGTGGTGGAAAAGGTCGATGAAGTTGATATGCTGATGGTGGATGAAATAACGGTAGTGTGGCGATGTAAGTTGTGTATAATATAGTACCAATCACCGTATTGGCAATCAATGGGGGAAAAACGTGCTTTGGTAAGAAGCTCCACTATAAAGATAATAATAATAATCAAACGGTCCTTATCAGTATGTTATGTGTATGTAAGACTATCTATCTAACAATATCTTACCCCTTTGGTCTTGACTGCATGTGTGATCATTCCAATAGAAGTGTATCGAAAAGAGAATCGTTTCGTAGTTTCATCCACAGGCATCAAGGCTCTTGCCATGATAAGGTAGTCCACCCGAAGAGGTCTAAATAGCTACAGCCAAGTCAAACGTGCCGTTAGCACTGAAGACAACGAAAATGTCACAGTTTCCCAGTTTTTTTTTTTTTTTTTTTTTTTTTGACTGCTGCTTGCTTACCTTCACTGGTGTGCGATAAAATAAATACATCCCTTGAAGCATCAGGGTTCGAGTGATAGCAGTGGACCCACCAATAGACGTAGCGTCTTTGGCCTTTTTTCGTTTGGCATGAAGATTTGTGGCATTAGTAGGTGATGGATAAGGTACAAAAGCTGGTAATGTGGAAGAAGATAGCGTGGCGTTATACGGGTACGAAAGAGAGAAAAGGGAGGCTTTTGATAATACAGGTTTGCTGTAAAAGCTTGTATTCTTTGTCGCTACGGGGGTTGCATTTGCTGCCTTTTCTACAGTTGCTGCTGGAGGAGCTGGAGCAACAGACATAGAATTGTGAAAAAAAAGTTTTCAGTCGTAGTAAAAAAAAAAAAAAAAAAAAAAACAAGGAACAGAAAATGACAGTGGGAGGGGTTGGGGTATTTTTTGAATTTTTAAAAGCGGAGATTTAAAAATAGCGATGAAAAGTAGATCGGCCGTTGTATCCCTATTGTTTGAGAGATACAGAGTGGAAATCTTGCAGTGACCAAAATTCCATTTTCATTTCATTTTCATTTTATTTCGTTATATTCAATTTATTAGTTATGATAGTTTATCAAAAAAGGCCTCAGTAGGATCAATTGGAAAAGTTTAGTTTTATGGCGCATGTTTTGACTAGCCAATTATATACTTCATCCTCGACCTTTTAAGTACAAGAGATCAATATTGTTCCGTTGTCGATCGGGGGAAGCATTTCATTTTCAGAATGCACTCAACTTGTGGTACATTATTAGCATTTAAGGCGCCTTTTTTGGGTGAATGTCTCATCTACCACTTCAAAATGATCTTTACCATAGAGCGATAACGGAATGATATTCAAACAATGGGGTTGCTCATAAATATCGAGTAATGCCCCCTTGTTTTAGCCATCACAACAAGAGTAAAAGCTGAATTTTGTCCATCAATCCAACCACTTAAGAGTATGGTCTATCATTTTTTATAAGGAATTATAACGCCGCATCTGAGTTTGCAAATTTGACATTCAAACAAATAAAATAAAAAGGACAATGAAAGTAGCTATACCTATACTTTATTGTGTGATAAAACAAATCAATATAAAAATATATCTATTCTACGGTAAAACTAGTTCTAACCAAAGGGGTAATATATTGTCCAATAAGTTGAGCATTGATGGATGTCTGTCAATTTTAAAAAGGAAATGACATGTTAATATATAAATTGCGATTCTTCACTCTCACCACCCTTTTTTTTTTTTTTTTTTTTTTTTGACTTGCATCGGGCTCCGAAGAAAGGGCGTGATTCAAGGATTTTTCCATTTTGTACAAAATGTCAATAATATCGTCATCAGGATATATTGGCGAAACAAGGACGACCTATATATGAATAGAAGATAACCCCCCAATCCAACGAATGAATTAGCCATATAATTTTCCCAAGTTTTTTTTTTTTTTTTTTTTTTTTTTTCCCTTACCAGATTCAAGTCTTGGTTTCCAGAGAATGAGTTTAGGACAGAAGGCCATAGTGCTACCTTGAAAGAGCCCAAACCAATAATGGTAAATGGACAGGGCGGTAGATCAGAGTGGTAGTGACGGTGGCGATGATGGTGGTGATGATCACTGTTCCGAAGGGTATAGGTTGAAGTAGATGATAACGTGGACGTGGATGGTTTTGGATAAGCATGTTGAGTAGGAATAGATGATAAATGCTGCTTTTGTTGCTGAATATCAGTATAAGATGGTATTGTGAATGGAGGCCGTCCTGTTGAGGATCCAGTAGGAGACGACGGTTGTAGGTTTTCAGGTGATGATGACCTTGTGTTGAATCCCAAACCATTTTCTTTGTCAATATTGTTGCCTTCCCAAGTATCAGTCGCTGCCATTGTATGTACATCATCTTGATCCATGTCAAATGTATCGACACCCCGTCCATCAATCTCATCATTGTCATCGTCGTCGTCGTCGTCGTCACCATCATCATCATCTCGGTCGGTGTCCTGTTCTTCATGTTCTGTATCGTTCGTCAGAGCTCCTGAAGATCCGTCGTCATCTGTTATACTGGTTGGGATATCATCCACCACACGCACAAGTGATTCCAGTACTCCGGCAATCAATGTCGCCTGATCCAGAGCAAGCGTGGGCGGTTCCATAAATGGTATGATGGTGTCTTCTTTAGCATATTCATCGGCTAAGGCATCACTGGAGAAGAGATAAAATAAAGGGAGTGTTTGGAACGCCGTGTTAGAGTCTATCCCGCCGTCGTTAATATCACGATTGTCCAGTTCTTTGTTGTTGGT